TGGTTGGACACGCACCTCCACTCTTTCCTATCCTGAGCTAATCTTCGTATTTACCTAAATCTAGAACAACCCACATCCTTAACTATTTGCGAAGAGTAATCTAATCTAGGTCTACCTCTACCCTTCCTGACTCCCGTTTCTGCTTTTAATATGTGTCTGACTAAATCTTCATGCCTGAGAAGATGTCTTAATAAATTATCTCGCCTATTTCTTATTGCCTTCCATTGAGTTCTCTGTTCTCTTACTCTTTCTAACACCTCTTCATTTTTAACGTTCTCTATCCACGGTATCCCCATCATTCGCTGTAACACCACATTTCGAACTCTTCTAACCTTTTCTTTTCCGCCGCGCCCACTGTCCATGTTTCGCACCCGTACAGCGCCGCGCTCCAAACATACACCTTTAAAAACCTTTTTCGAATTTTTAATTTAACCATTCACGAGCATAGAAGTGACTTCTTTTTATTATAGGCGACACGATCCTGCGCTATACTCTCATATTATATCCTTTATATCCATACTACTCCTTCCGTCCTGATATATCTGACTTCCTAGATACCTAAAACCAGTCACTTCTTCTAATTTTTCGTCTCCTATCTTTATATTCGCTGTTTCCTTATTTTTTCTTCCCTTGCATACCAGCATTTTTGTTTTACTTTTATTTATTTTCATACAGTACTGTTTTGTCAATACTGCTTCCATTTTATTTAGAGCTATCTCTAACTCCTCCTTGCTAATGCTGCTATTTCATCTGCAATTCTAAGCATACTAATCTTTTGCCCTTTTATATCTATCCCTACAGTTGTACTATCTTTAATGATCTTGACCGCGTCTTAAATGTATAGATTAAAAGTAGTGCTGGCACTGTGGATCCCTGTGTGACTCCTTTGCTAAAATTTACTATTTCATTCATATCGTAATAGAGGCAATTAAAAAAAATTAATTAGAACATAAGTTCAGCATTTTTTAAATGAACATTGAACGTATAGGGGAGAGTGCGGAGCTTATAAATTACTTTTAAAAAAGATATTTTTGTTACTAGAAGCATACATGAAGGTGTATGTATGTAGTCCTATGAAAATAAAGCAGTAAAAGGTTGTACAGTAGACAATTAACACCATTTTCTGTTATCTCTCACCTATATGACCACTTTACCAGAGGATAAAGCTTTAGGGCACATGGGGCAGTTCAAATTATGTAGCACATCTATTGTTATGTAAAATTTACGGTTATAAAACAATAAACAACATACGGTTAATAAAACAATAAATTCATTAAAATTAGTTAGATAATTTTGACTTGGTTCCTTAAGGCGTATGTATAAATGATTGTCAGTCTGTTCAATTTTGTCAGTGTGCTATTTTTTGTAGCTTACAAAAAACTGTTGGTGTAAGATAAAAAATTAATTGGTCAATGTTAATGTCCGATATCATCGAATGCCTATCACCAAATTTTGCATTTTCGCACAGGAGAAAACTAAATTTTTATGAAAACGAAAAAATTACAATTTTCGATTGTAAATGACTGAATTTGCTGTAGAAATCATAGAATTTATTAGGTAACTTGTTGGTTGGTTGCTGTTGGTTTTTGACAACTTTAAGTCTAGTTAAAAAAAAAACCTGTGTATCGGGATTAAAAGCGGAACCTGTATAAAGAATAGGTGCAAATTGTATGTTAAAATGGGAGTTGAAGAATTGACAAATTTTGTTTTGCAAAAGTAATGGCGTTAAAAGTAATTATGGAAGCTGGTATAAACGAGAATCAATTCAACCAGTATCTCGGAGGATAACTTTGGGTGGCAACTTGACTTCGTCCAAAAAAAAAGCCAACAGCCCGAGATAAGAATGTTCAGTCTCTCAGAGTCTCTGAGAGCGAGACTCGAGTCTCCGTCTCTCATGAAGTCTCGTTGCTGAGAGAGACTGTCGAGAGGCAGTCAAAAGAACTGTTTAGCGTCTCTGAACGAGAGACTCCAGTCGCTCATAGAGAGATCCTTATTTCGTACCCAGTCTTTGAACAAGAGACTCGAATCTCTCAATAAGTGATTTCAGAGATCCCAGTCTTTCTACGAGAGACTCGAGTCTCTTAATTTTTTAGTTTTATTCGTTCAGTCTCTTTGTGAGAAACTCGAATCTCTGAATTAACAATTTTATCGTTCGAGTCTGTGAGAGACGCTCTTAGAAACGCTGAAAGACTCTTAGAGACTGGAGAGAGACTGAAAATTTTTGTCTAGGGGGGTACAATCATATTGTATTTAATAATTTTAAAAAGTTTCAATACTACTGACATACAGCTAAATTTATTGATAATATGTAAGAGGAACGTTTGTTTTTTAAGGTTTGCTATTAATTATGTTAGACGTATTGTTATTTACGAATAAATTGTCAAACCAAGCTTTCCGTTAAACGATTATGTAAGTTTTACAGTCGCGGGAAGGTTATTTTGCTCATATCCTATGTATACGTGTGTCTGCTTGTCGATGATTACTGAAAGAAAGAAAATCCTTTATTAAGAAATCATTTGTGTGCTTTCAATGTAATCAGACGGGTGTGGTCTTTTCGCTGTGTGATCATTAAGTGTGTTGGTTCAACAATTTGTGGTGAGTTATCAATGAATATTTTTTTCTTGTTATTACACCCTCATTTTATGGGAAAAAAATTAAGACAAGAGGTTTTTGTTTTACTGATCAGTAATGGGGATACCACAGGCACTTTGGTGCGGGGATGTTAGCCCATATTTGAAATTGGATTGTTGCAGCTGTGATGGACGCGTGTGTTAAGCACCATCAATAATGATTAGCTAGGGAGGCTATTGAGTGTGAGAATCGTTTGTAATGGGTGAATATTTCCCCATAAACAGCAGTAGTCGGTTGTCATTTTAAGCTACAGCCAGACCTTAGGATAAATTACACACGTCTGCGAAATTTTTTTTTTGAAAAGCATGAAAAAATCGAAAATAAACAAAAAAACGTGATTTTTGAATTGACTTTTTTCTTAAAAAGTAATTCTTTGTGTCCTTACGATTTTTTTATATACTTAAAACATATATAAATCATGACCTCGATATCTAAACATGAAATAATCACCATTGGTCAAGTTTTACAAACTGTTTGATCAAACCAAGTTTAATGTAAAATGGTGGAAGCAATACTTTATTCTTTCAAACTCGTATTGATGACATTTTTCACTCCGACTTCCAATTGCATTTGGACAGAAATACCAAATAACAATGATTCTGATTTACTATAAGTCCACTGTCTTAACACTTCAACATAAGCGGCATATTTTATCGTAACTCAGTGTTTATCTTGGTGACAACTTCATTCTGAAGTAAGCTTAATAAGCATTTTTTACACAATCTGTTATATTCAATCTTTGCTTAACTATTGTATATTGTCCGCAAATATAAAAAAATACATTAGAATTGTTTTTACAGAAGCCATAGTTAAAGATAAATGAAACACAATATTTTATTACACGTTAATATTATATCTCTTTCAATAATGGCGCGCTATAAACTATTTTTTTTTTCAGGCGGTGTAAACGACTATAGTTACTTTCAGACTATCTAAAATAAAGTAAAAGACAATATAATGCTCAGTCAGAGAGTATTAAATAGAAATATAAGCTATAAAATGAATTTTGTAAAAAAACAAATAAATTTGCTGATTCAAAGAGCTGTATGTATACATATACATATATTAATCTACATACAAAAAAAAATGTGACGTGATACGTTAAAACAAAGTTTATATTTACAAATTATAGACCAACATTTGCATGCTTAAGATAAATTTATATAAAAAACTTTTTTATCGCAGACCTGTGTTATTAATTAAAGGATCTGTTACAAAATTAGGTACTCATGTTTGTTTTTTTCTTTTCCTGCTAGATAGAGAGAGTGAAGGGGAAAACGTAACCGTTATCAGTGAATAAGGGAACCGGAGTACGGGAGCATCACCAATGCTATTTTTGTTTATTCTTTACTTCTGAATTGGAGATTTGGCTTTGTTTTTGAGCGCCGGTTAATTTAAGTTATTTAGTGCCTACCTAAACGTTTTTTTTTTCGATCTAGTAGTATTTATTTTTAGTTTTTTCTTATAAATATTAATACATACATATCACATCAAATCTTTATCTCTACCTTCTTCATCATTTTAAAGCGTAGTTAGAAAACGTGGCAACGTCGCATTTCATTACGGAATTATTGTAATGAGTTTAACTTTTATTTTTTTTACTAAAATCTACACTGCAATTAAGTTATACGCTTAAAGACTGACCTGTGGAAGCTTATGTTTTGCGAGAAGATGCAAGTCTTCTTTGTACGCGAGGTTCTAGATTACTTTAGTTGGTAAGAGAAAGGTTAAACTTTACATAGGCTGTTGTCATTTCCCTTTATGATAAAAGCAGTATTAATATTAGATGATAATATAAATTCAATGGTAGTGTGCCATACTTATGAAAAATATATTTACATAATATATTTTATACTTTCGTGTCCCTTATTGTCCTTTATTCTTTCAACATTTTCATCATTTATATATACTATAATATACTTTATAACACCATTGAAATTATAATATTTCAAGATAAATATTTTATTTCACTTCGTTGATTTTTGTCTTCTAAATATTATTTCTTTTATGAAATGTTTCTTTTGTATTTTTTAATGGTACAAATCTTACGCTATGCTGATTCGGAAAATTGATGAAAAAAAAAACTGTTATTGTAGTACGAGTACCTACGTTATATTTTTTGCCCGAATACATTCTTATTTCGGGAGAATAAGAAGTACCAAAATGTGCACTGCTTACTCATATGTTCACTGTTTTTCAAATATCAATTTTATAGTATAGAAAAATATCACTTTTTTTTATTTGTCCTAAACCGATGTGCTCTACTCACTGTGACTACTCCCAAAAACACTTAACATTCCTGCACTCAAATCCTTGAGGAAATGTCAAAGGTTTTTTAAATATAAATTTTATAAAATAAATTTTCTTACCGTATTATTGTCGATGGTCAAGTAAACGGTGTCTAAGTAGAATCCATGGAAATTCAAGTCTATTCTGATTCCGCGAAGAGTTGTAAAAAACTGTGAAAAGCAAAATATAGAATTAGGAAAACTGAGCCCACAAATATTTCTTAAAAGTATGTCTCTCTTTTACTGTTTAATTATATCCATTGTTAATGCTCTAATAACCGTTTTGATATCCACAAAACATCTATTCAAAAATTTAAACTGTACCTATTTCTTTTTTTACTCTATCTCTACGATATTAACGGTCTTTTTCAATGAAAGATGTCACTGCGTAATTTTATTATAATGAATAAAATTTTTAGTGTTTTTATTTCTGTTAATAAAATATTCTGTTACTGGCGAATGATGAGAATACTGTAAATAGAGAAGATTAGAAATGAAGAGGTATTAGAAAGAATAGAACATAGGACTCTAT